GGTTTACTACTAATAGTGGATTGGTGGTATTATGTTGCCTAGTTATATATAATAATTCAAACTTCTCAGGAGCAAATAGAATTTTATTCTCCTTGCCCCATCTAATAATCTGTTATACTTATTATTACAGAATTCTAGCATTTGTGGAGAGATGCTTGAAGAAGTAATAGATCACGATATTGTTTGTATAGTTAAAGCGGTATTTGGTATTTCGATTGAGAAGCTCAGCAAGATAGAGTATGTAGAAGATGGGTGATAATAGGGATCCCTGAGGAGTGCTGCACGCCACTAAGTATTCCTTTATTATAACGCCTTCAAGCCTTACCTTGACTTTTCTATTCATAAGGAATGAGTCTATCAGTCTGAGCAGCGGAATCGGCCATCCTTATTTGATCATTCGGCTCAAGCAGAAATGAATTATATTATAACTACTTTCTAGAATATATTATAATACAAAGTAGATTCACTATACCTACAAACACTTTCCCGGCTCATTTGTGATAAAATCACTAGTACTAAACTTCTATAGAATCTTCTAACTACATTAAACTATTTATTATATGATTACCTTCAGAAGTTCTGGCTAGAACTAAAACCATTCCTTTATGTTTTTATTTCTATTTGCTTCTTAAGCCTATCTAATATTTCCATTATGCTCTCTACCCTATAATATCCGATTATAGATCAACATATATATCCGTTCTCTTAACCTATATAGATAGTATTACTATTGCTATTATTATATACTACGCCTTGCGGCTAATAGTCATTTCGTATTATCTTATTGGATCTCTTTTATATAACAAAACCGATTATATCTCATAAGCTTGTTATTTCAGATTTTTAATCAGATAGTCTTTTTATAGTGTTTTCAATCCACTAATCAAAGCTCTGTTTGTAAAATCTATTCCCCTAATGTATAGTTTATAATCGAAAGTAGAGTGCTAAGAATATATTGTATATGTATATTGTAGGATTGGCCTTTGCCTGAGATTCTTTATCATTATAATATCAATCGAGTATTATCGAGTGTGACTTACTAAAAGTATATTTTCTATATTGGAGCTTCTCTGCTATTATATTGCTTCTGCATATTCGAAAATAAAATGCTAAAAACATCCCTTCTCCTATTTTATATATACTTCTGCTGGCCCTAGTAGACATTGTTCTAGCCTTTATATACTTCCTATTACTTCTCTTACTATTTATAAATATCCGATTTAGTATACCTGCAGATTATATATATTATTGGATTATAAAAACTCTACACGCTAGCACCCCAAAAATATTCTGTCGATTTTCGTTCAAGTTAAGAATATCAGTCCTGCTTTTAATATAAACTTCAATCAGACTCAGCTATATTATAGAAGCTTCATTATTTACTATTTCAAGAACTAATTCCGCTTCACAAATGCTCTATTACAATATACTCTGGTTCTGCTTCTCACACAGATTCGTAAAGGCACGATTCCACATCAATCCCACTCTCATCTCCCTTCCACCATCGAATAATTTTCATTTTCGTTTTACTAGTAGTCCTTTATTCCAAGTATTTTCGTAATTACTCTCTAGTAATCAACTATATATACCTTCACTCCCAATATAGCCTCCGATTAGTATACAACCACCACCCAGCTCCAATTAACTCTATTTAGCTCTCCGATCGCACGATCGAAGGTTCGTAGGATACACCACATATAGGTGAGAGTCATCGTATCCCAGCCGATCCACTAATATGGCAGGATCGTCACAATTTTGTAATTAAGGATAGTAGTTGTTCTATATAATTAGATACTAGATATCAGGTTTCTATATTTTTAATATATATAAAATAAGTATTTTGAGTGATGTGATATTGAGAACGAAAATAATCCTAATCGGGAAAGGCGATATATCAATCGGCAATATCTGACTTTTTACCGAATCGGGATTACAATACTACGAATCCTACCTTTGATCAAGTATAACTTTTACTACAACATTCTGACGAAAGAATAATTACTATCATTGTAATCCTCAAGTCAAGACAAATCGAATGGTATCAAAAAAATCAAAACAATTTTCCCACCTTAGGCTAACCTTTACCCTATATTCAGTCTTCATAACGTCGGCGCGCTGTATTTGGTGACATAGTGGTGTTCATCCAAAAAGACACGTTACAGTCTCGATGATCTAGCCGTTTGAGATGGGTTTGGTATCAACCTTTAGATGTCACCTGCATATGATTGGTTTGGCATATGGAGGTGACAAGAATCATTGTGGCTTCTAAAGCGCTTGCAGATCTAGCGGCATGAATATCAATATTATTACTATATTCTAGAACTAACCTCCAAGAATTATAAATCATTCTGATAAGAAACATAATTATATAATATAATAATATAATGAAATTATAACGTGGTTTAACAGTGGCTCGGCCATATCAGTAAGTCGGCCACCATTTTTACATACAAAATACGTCTGTGCACAACCGTGCACTTTCTTTATTTATTGATATAATTTTCTAAAAATCTAATATTAAATATTTGATTATATATAGATTATAAAAATCTAATTAGTTTCAATAAATTAGAATTTTTAAAATAGTTATTATAAAAAAAAGCTTTTTTGTAACGAAAATCATGACAATTTTGATTTTTTTTGAAATCGAAAAGAATTATTTGAAAAAAAAATTATTACTTTGAATAACTGATTTTTATTATTATTTAATATTCTTTTCTTTTTCAAAAATAATGATTGATAATTAAAATATGAATATTGAAAAAGGCTGATTTTATATGTATTTTAAAGTGGCCGACCCACTGATATGGCCGAGCCACTGTTAAACCACGTTATTAACCGATTTCCCTACTACGTGCACGTCCCTGCTATATGCACGATCTCGATCACCCTTTTTGAATAACTTTAAAAATTAATAACAATTCCAATTTATAAGATAAAGAGCTAGCAATTTAATTGATAAATGATAAGATACAATACTATCTAAAAACATAATAAAATCTTCAGATTTTGAATTTCGATGGAACTCGTAGTGCTCGCCCTCTACTAGATCGCAATATGACCTCCTCCTCCTTCCCCTTCGAATTATTAGCCTCTACAGCATCAGAGAGCTCTATAGTCTTTGTCGATGTTAGATCTATAGTAGAAGAAGCTTTGGGGAACTTTTTATCTCTTTTGATTGGAGATTTTGTTGATTTTAGAGTCTTTTTAACCTCCTCTTTCGCATCACGTGCAATCTGACGATCAACCTCCCTCTGCAATACCCTCTCTTTCGTCTCAATCTCCTTCCATTCCTTTTCAGCTTTCTTTTCAGCTTTTATCTGAAGCTTAGCTTCCTTCTCTTGCTCCTCTTTAAGTGCTTTATCTTCTTGATACGCTCTAGTTTTAATAATAGCAGAAGGTAACCATAAAAACACACCATTCCCCTCCTCTCCAATGAGATTTAAACGCTTTGAACGAGCTCTTTTCCTTTTTTCAAGCTTTAGAGCCTCTTCTAAACCTTTAGATCTATGCCCCTGTATAGAAGCTTCAGCTCCTAATGTAGTTGCAGCCTTAAAAAGCTTTAAAGTGATCTCATGGGTGGGAGCGCGACGAAATTCTAATTTCATTCTACACATCGCTTTTGACGTATACGGTGTAGCAAGAGCATCCCTGCGAGTTTTAAATGATGTAGGTGGCGTAAGAGGAGCTTCCGGAGCAATACAGTCGATCGTAAGACTCCTATTCATAGGATATATGCCCGTTTTTTCGAAGGATCGTAAGATATTATGCCTCGTACAAGTGAGCTCCCAAGCCTTTTTAAATATGCCCCAAAACATGCGCTTTGTTATACCAACAATCCCCCTGCTATTGTGCATCAAATCATTCAATAATGTACTGTAATTCGTCGAAAGGGCACCGAAGGTTCCAATGTCGAGAGGCTGTAGTCGATATGTAGAATGAGGGGGGAGAATTAAAACAATAATCTTTAATTCATCGCATTTTGAAAGGAATTCCATATTGACATAACTAGAATGACCATCGACAATAAGTAGACGATATCTTCCACCTGCTTTTCGACGTGTAGCAGGGTCGAATACGTTTATAAACCAATATAGGCCAAAAGCATTCGACGACCACCCATTGCTTGAGGCTCCAAAATAGGCTTTATCCTTCTCCCCTACATCCTGAACCCATATATCTTATAGATCCCCTGAGTCTCCTTTATAAATAAGAGCAGAAGGGAGAGCTATCCCATCAGCACATATAGCTGCCAATAGGATGATAAACTCTCTTGATCCATCTTGCCTAGCTTTTGTCACTCTGCCTCTATTATAGGCGCTAGCACTCATTATCCTCTTCATAGTCCTCCCCATACCGATCATAAAGCCCTTCTCGTCCCAATTGTATATATCTCTCGGCCGTATATCGTATTTTATGGTCACTTTTATCAACTAAATTAAAAAAAGAGGGGCATTAGCAAGAGCGTTTTAGGTAATAAAGATCAACAACAATAGAAAATAGCTCAAACCAGATCATAAAAGTAATCAAATATAGCAACATTATCGGCTTTCACACGCAAATTATCAATGCAACGGAGATACCGACTTTTAAGACGTGTTGAATGCCTTTTGACAAAATTGCTAGTCTAGTTCTTTCCCACCTCTCTGCCTAGGATCTCTTCTGCAAGGTTTCTGACTATGCGGCTTGTAGGAGGGATAGATCTCTGTGTCAGCTTGTTGATTTGATCAACTAAAACCTCCTCCTGATTGCTAGAAAGCGCTTGTTTCGTATTGGAGAGGAACTGTTTTCTCGAGGTGGTTTTACCTCTATGCTGCCGGGAGAGCGTGGATCGATCAATTTTAAAGAAATTAGCTGTCTGGGTGTATTTAGGAGCTTGAACCCCTTTCAAATGATCTAATGCAAGCTCTATACGAGCCTCTAAAGGCATATCATCGATGTTTGAAGCCATAATGTTGATATTTTCAAAGTCGTGCACGTAGTAGGGACGTGCACATAGTGGGGAAATCGGTTATTTATATATTATATAATTATAATAGAGCTTGTTAATAAGATATTAGTAATTGATTTACTATACCTATTATAGAATTTCACACCCTCAAACCCTCAAGTGAGATGATTTCTTCCCGCAAAGTTTCGAGGGAAGTTTTGGTGACTGGGGTCAAGCTCCAGATGGTTCTCATGAAGTCGAAATTCAAGATGGGAAAGTGAAGGAACAGGATCCAGCCGGGGGTTTCGCCCTTGCCTTGTCCGTCCTGGGAATATAATCGCTGGCGCCATGATAGGCTTCCTTCCCGCAAACATATCCCAATTTCCCCATACTCCGTCAGTCTGCTTTTGCAAGCGCGATACAACTAAACATCAAATCTCCGCCACCGGCTTCTTCTTCCATCCTCATCACTCTGCCTATACCCTTTGCTATCGCAATCTCGCTCAACACATCCTCGTCGTCGGCCAACAAGCCTCGATCGAGCGGCCCTTTTCTGCTGCCTTCCAACTCCCACAAATGACCATCGTCCCCTTTCACAAATGCCACAAAATGCTGTCCTAATCTGTCCCCCTCTGAAGCACTGGGTGCCGCTGTGTCGCCCATTTCTGCAACACTCTGATGCGCATCCTCGAACTCCTTATCATCGTACAGTATCCTCGCCCGTTCTTCCAGCTTTAGTGGAAGAGCCTGCTCCCTTAGTCGAAACAAAGTTGTATCTGGTAGAATGAATTCTTTCGTAGGCCCGTTAACAAGACAGTGAAGAAGCCCGATAGAACCGCATGCGTGTCCAATCGTTTGCTTGAACCAGATTACGGCCTCGTCGCGGCCAGACCCCTCGTAGACAGATAGTGGGGTGTCTTCAGCTAGACGAGATGTTTTCCAGGAATGAGTGAGCGGGAGGATGACTAGGAGGGCATGGACTGGACGGGGGATTATGGACAAAAGACTTGGGTCGCTGAGAGAGTAGACATCGTAGAATGCGAGATCGGGGGAAAGACCAAGCTTCTTAGCTAGCGCATTCATGACTTCGGGATTATTTTCTACAATGGACGAATAAGCAAGTGAGTTTTGTGGTTCGTAAGATGCGATTCAGTCTTACCTAGAACCGTGAACGTCTTCTTGCCATTATGGAAGGTGGCAGGTATAGGCATGATGGTAGTGACAAGGCGGAATTAAGATTTGATGGATCGAAAGTGGATGTTTTATTCAAATTAGATTTTTGAATCATCTTCGTCTTAACCTTCATACTATGAAACAGACATACTTTCTTTGCAAAGAATCGTCATCTTGATGCCTAATGGCAGTTTACTAAGATATGCACGGGCACTGTTTCGCTCCGTTGCAGGGATTACTAAGCAGCTCAGAAAGCAGGAACCCCGCGAACCCCGCACTTCAGTAGTTTCACTCCGCCATCGCATTAAAGTTGTAAGTTTACACAAGTGTTACTCTAGTATACGAGAGCTTGACATAACATACGGGTGCGTTTTGCTGATACACACAACACAGGCCTCCTGCAAAGGAAATAAAGGCGGAATTTTTGGAATTGCTGATCAAGTAAAAAGTCATCGAAAGAAGGCCAATAATTTTCCAGTGAAAAGTGAGACACACACTTTACCTCCGCCTAAAAGCCCTTTCATACTTCTCAAAACACCTCTCCTCATACCTCGGAAGAGGCAAAAAAACAACGATTTGAATGCTTGATAACAAAAATATGTAAATCTGCTGTTCTTCTCGTTGAGAATGGTCTGTGAAGAGGTTACCACATTTCTGCACAAATGTTAACGCCGCCGTCAGTAGTACCCCGTTTGTTCATTGAAGGGGCTAGTTTTTGGTGTTGATAATTAGATAGGTAATCCTAAAGTTCATGAGATATTGTTTAAATCGTCTATTCTTAAATCTTCGGATTCTTTCGTCAAAACTTGCATCGCTACAGATCATCCAGGAATTATGATCGACGACTGTGATCTACAGCGTGAGAGCACTAACATCGATGCCTGTTGAAATTCGTAGAGCCATCTACGCTTCTGTCATCGACGACCGCGATCGCAATTCGGAAAATATCTCATGGACTGAATGGGCCCGTCTTCAGCGATCTTCATGGGGGCCACACTGCGAATTGTAATCAACTTTACCACCTTCTTTTCCTGGACAATTGTAGTCAATCTATTGATATAGCAGATCTACCAACTAATCACGTTATGCTATATCAATATTGATATAAGTCTCGATCTAAATGAATCTTTATGTTCTGTCTATAATTGAATAACTACACGATGATTTTATTGTTAATGACATCAGAACCGATGTAAAATATCAAGAAGCATATCCATAGATATCTGCGGACTTTCGGAGGGTCGGCTCGGCTACCGAAAGACAGAAGACATAATGCACAAACGTTTCCGGAGAGTAACGAGGGATGAAAGAGGTGACACAAGTGGAAAAGAAAAAGGGTATGGATGTGACTACCTAGAGAGATAAATTGTAATATTTATGTTACGATAGACTGAGACAATCTTTTGAATTGTCACCATTAAAACTGTTCATTCTGTGAATATTGCCCAACTTACAAAGTATGATACCTGCTTAATTACTACATTGTCGCTAAAATATCTATCACATCCATATAAAAGCTCAAATCTCACATCATGGTCAGAGTGGCAGTCGCAGGCGGAACTGGTGGAGTTGGTTACGCTATCGTTGACGCTCTCAAAGCACAAACAGAACACGAATTCATTGTTTTGAGTAGAACAGTAATTTATCCCAAATTCTCTCCGGAATATTGATTGAATGAACAAAAAATAACGTTTGAGCATAGGAATCACCCGAATATGCAGCAAAAAACAACGTAAAGGTTGTTTCGATTGATTATTCCGATGTCTCACAAATCTCAAAGATATTCGATGAACATAATATTCATACGGTTATTTCGGCTTTGTGTATTGTTTCAAAAGAGCACAGCGACTCACAGTTGAACCTTGTACGAGGTGCTGCTGGTTCCCAGTCTGTGAAGCGATTTGTGCCTAGTGAGTATGGAAGTGCTTATGAAGAAAAGTGAGTGAGATCCGATGTATCCCATTCAGTTCCATGTCTGGATCTTCGTCCTTACGGACTTGACAAATCGACGCATCTAACCATTTCATTAGACATGCGCTCGCTCGCCCAAGCACTGGCCTCAAAGCAGTTGCCGTGAAAGAGCTTGCCAAAACTCACCTCGAATATACTTCATTCGTCAATGGTCTCTTCTTAGATTATTTGTGCATGCCCGCGGTGCCAAGTCATCTTGCAGCTGGAATAAGATTCTTCGACATTCCCAGCAGAACCTCGGTAGGTATTGGATCAGGGACAGTACCTTTGGTTATGACCCATACAAGAGACGTGGGCCGCTTTGTCGTTGCTAGTCTTTCCTTACCGAAGTGGGAGAATAGAAGTTTTATTGTTGGGGATCGACAGTCCTGGCATGATGTGATAGATATAGCAGGGAAAATTACTGGTATGATTACGATTTTACATGCCTTCGAACCTTCCCAACATCTAATGTTGAACTGAAGCATTGCTAACTTGAGTCTGCATGTACAGGTGATAAATGGACAATCACTGATGAACCCTCTAAAATTCTTAGTGGGCAGGTCATCGAAGCACCGGCTCATAGGGCTGCATACTCGGCCTCGCTGAAAGAGCATGGAGACTGGTTTGAATCAGGAACATTTAGTTTCGACCCTAAAGCTCCGGATTCCGTGTATCTTAACGAATTGTTCCCAGAAATAATCCCTCTTACGGTAGAAGATGGCCTCAAGACTTTGATTAGTGCTTCCTCTAGCTAGAGCTAATGTCAAGACGGGAACTTAGAGTCAGAATTATGGAGCTAGCCAAGAAATATTCTCTCTTACGGTTAATCTACAATAATCCGCTCCGCGAGTTCTCCCCAAGGAACATTACCCGCCGCGGGTATCGATTGTGCAGTCTAGACATAGTAGTCAGGTAGTTTTTGAATCAAAATGACAAGGGTATGATCATGTGATGATCCCAGCTTTCGGTCTCGTAATCGTTCCCACGGAATATATTCTCGGCATCCGAAGTACACGGACCGTGTGAAGACCCCAGTCTGATACTACAGGAAACTCGATATGTATATGCTAAAGCAAATATGGGTTTGTGTTATCATTTATTCTATTCAAAGTCGAAATGTCAAACGAAAAAATGCCAATCGAGACTGTACAAGCAGATGAACATCGATTTGCCATTATTCTTGGAGCAGGTGCTGCAGGAATTATTCAAGGTTGTACATTCATACGTGAAAAAACGCTTCCTCTTGAAGAATTTCAGATATTAGAAAGACAAAGTGCGTTTGGGGGAGTCTGGTGGAAGAACACTTATCCCGGAGCTGCGTGTGATATTCCAAGTCACGAGTATCAAATAAGTTTTGCTCTTAATCCTTGTCAGTATTTTCACACATGTGACTTTATCTCTAACAGAAGAAGACAATGATAGATTAAGTCTTTTTATCGGTCTATTCTAAAAAATCTCAGAACTAACTCTAAATAGACTGGAGTAGAACTTTTGCACCCCAGCCCGAGATCCAAAAATACTTTGAGGACGTAGCATTACAATATGAATTACATAAGTCCACAACTTTCAACACAGAGATTGTAGAGGCCAAGTGGGATGATTCGCGTTTGTTGTGGCTTGTCGAGACTACCGATCTTACCACGGGAGATACAAAACTCTGGAGCTGCCATGTAGTACGTAGTGAGCCCCTCATATTGTTTTGTATATCTTCTAATTTAGAAATCAGCTTATCGGCGCTTTAGGAGCATTTACAGTGCCCAAGAAGGCACCTGTGAAAAATGTCGATGCTTTCAAAGGGGAGGAGTGGCATAGTGTGGACTGGCCAAAAAATGCCAATCTCAAGGGAAAGACCGTTGCTGTAATTGGAACAGGACCATCTGCCTGTCAATTTATTCCAAACATTTACCCTGAGGTAAAGTCTTTGATAGTTTATCAAAGAAGTCCGGGACATGTCTTGCCTCGTAACGATGTTGTTGTCGGGTCGTTAACAAAATGGATGTTTGCTCACATACCATTTCTGATGCGGTTTAATCGGTGGTTCTGGATGAAAAAGGTATGCTACTTGATCAAATTTGCAAACTTTGGTGTCCTGTATTAAACTCACCAACAGGATGAAATATTACGTCCGCGTCTATTTACTGTAGGATCATGGCTCCAAAGAATAGTCATCTCGATGACGAGGAACCACCTATACAAACAGATAAAGGATGACACTTTAAGACGGAAACTTGAGTCTAAAGATGTTTTTGGATGCAAACGTCCATTGATGCTCAGTGACTATTATCCGATATTTAACAACGATAACGTAGAGCTTGTGACTGACAGTGTGACTGAACTCACCGAGAATGGCATTAAATCAAGGAATACTGATACAGGCGAGGAGATGGAACGAGAAACTGATGTATTGATTTGGGGTACTGGTAAGAGATAGGAATATTGCGATCGGAAGAGACGAAATTAATTGACAAATAACTAGGTTACAATCCCGTCGATTTTGGACTTCCTGTCCCAACAAAAGGACGATCAGGACAACTACTATGCGACAAATACCAACCAGAACTGTTTTCCTTATATGGTAAGAAATTTTGACCAATATATTCTCATCCGATTGCTAACTTTCACGAGGCGTCGCCGTTGATGATTTTCCAAATTACTTCAACTTTCTTGGTCCGAATAGCTCATCTTTCGAAACCAGCGTCATGGAGCTTTTTGAACTTCAAGCGCATCACAATTCTATCGCAACAAAATATCTCTTTCAGAAGAATGTTGGCACTTTCCGTTATGCTATTATGCCAAAGGAAGAACGCGTAAGATCTTGGACATTATCATTGAGACCAGGGCAAGCAAAATTGCCTCCTGCGAATCCAAATTGCAAAAGTTATTATAGGGTGAGAACATCCTTGGTCTGACGTGTGTATCTTAGTGGCTAATATAAGTTTTTTAAAGTCAAAAATAGGACACGTCTATCGATATCCATACCCATATTGGCAGTACAAGGCGTTAATTGCCAAGCTTGACTTCAAGCGTGATTGGGTACTTCTTCAGCAGAGGATAGGACAGAAAGAGGTCAAAGTTCTAGAATTTTAATCACAAAGATCTATGTATAGTCAGCACTGGAGACAGAGGAACAGATCTGTGTAGGTTTTGTTCAGGAAATGGGAGTATTGCGTTCAAAGGAGTACTGTCGGTTGCTTGATTTTTTTAGACAAGAGGATATACTTCTCATTTTTCAATGCAAAAGATCATAGAAATTCCTCAAGATTACTTGTGACAATCAAATTCTCATCTGAATTCACTCAGACGAGTGTTGAGTTCAGAGATCACAGTCTACAATATCTGGACCTGGAGATAGCATTACGCTTGCCAGTCGGCTAGCCATGCAACAGGCAATCACATGTCCTGTGGCCTCTGAAATTTCCATGTCAATTAGTGCGCAGTCCTGCTAGCTGAGCTCTGTGACTTAAAAAGTTGCAAATAGACAGATTTTTTGCAGCTTCGCCGATGCTCGATGCTTTTTGAACAGAGAGTTGGAAATTGCCTTGGAATGTATTGTTACCGAAACTCGAGATTGCAAACCGTAACATTTTCTGGTGATTAGTGTTTGAAACACCTGTACTATTGCTCATTTCGGTTATATTCACAAGAGTCTCGCTCAGCGAAGACCATTTGATATGTACATGTTGGCTCTCAAGATCAAGGAACAAGTGGCCATGAACTTGATATAATTTTTGATTACAGCTAACTGGCTATCTATCATAAAAGGGTTTGTCTTCATGGTTTACGCATATCCTATCTAGGAATCATCGAAGCGCTACATTTCACAACAGTCCATCGACATTGTAAACAAGAGTTTTGGTTTAACGGTGATGACTTCAACTCTCAAATTCGATCGATCATTGTTTCTACATTCCGCTTCACGCACATCTATCAATGAAGACTGGTGAACTTTACTCTCGTCTCAACTTTCTTCCAGAATTGAAAGAAATCCAATTCCGTATTCCAATCGACCGGTTTACTAAGCAACTCCATATCGAATTCAAACAATAGCCTCGCGAGTGTCATCCTTAGCTCAATATATGCCAAATTAACACCCAAGCAAACACGAGGTCCAGTACTAAATGGTTTGCTTGCCTCTTTATTATCTTGATCGAATACGGGATTATGAAGAGGATGGTCAGAAGGGAGCCATCGCTCGGGATGCCATCCCTCAGGATCATGCCAATACCTTACATCGTGAGATGCTGTATATGGAGAGACGGAAACGATGGTCCCTTCTGGAACCACATGGCCGTCAATGACTGCTCCAGGGCACGTACGAGGAAGGCCAAATGGCACTGGAGGGAGAATGCGTAGTGTTTCCTCGATCACGGCGAAGAGGTATTCTAGGGGTAGAGTTCCTTCAACATTAATTTGAGATTTGTCAGTAAATGCGCCACGCACTTCGTCAATGAGAATCTTCATTTTGTCCGGATAACGAAGTAAGAATGATACCATAGCTGTCAGCGTGACAGCTGTAGTCTCAGATCCAGCGATAATGAGAGTGTGGGCCTGCGCAGTCAAGAACATTTCCGAAGTATCCGCTCCCTCTTTACCAAGTAAGAAGCTGAAAAAATCCTTTTGAACAATGTCATCACGATTGGCCCGTTTCATGGCTTTAGAGTTCGTATGGGCAATGTGTTCCCGTCGCTGCTGACGGATCTCATCCATGTTTGGAATAATCCATTTCATGAAGAGTCTGCTGATCGGGATCTTCTGGAAGATTGGATAGAGACTTCGAATGAAATTACCGTTGATGATCAAGTGAATCCAAAAATGTGTTCGGGCTAGGGAGATATTAGCATAATGAATTCATGGAAGAGGGGCATGTGTGATAGCTTACCATTTTCGACTGCACCAAAAGATTCATGAAAAGTAAGATCCCCGATCTATGAATAGTTTCATTAACATCGACACTACATCGCCATCACTTTACATAAATGCTTACAATATCGAATGTCAGCCAGTTGAACCATTCTTCGACTGGAATACCATTTGGATTGTCATGTTTCTTGATCTGACTGACGAACATGTCCAAATATTTATTGATGACATCTGCCTGGCCCTTGAGAACAGAATTGCTAAATGCGTTGGCTAATACTCTGCGCATGTTACTGTGCTTTTGCGGATCTGGCTCTGTTGAGATGGAGTTTGGTAGATCACCAACACCTGCGTACCAGTCGGTCTTTCTGAAGTACTTCTTGCCCTTCACTGAATGTCCATAAATATCTCTCCAAGACTGAGCTGAGCTGAATGCAAGCTCATCAGGGGCTATTCGAACAACTTGACCTGAGGCTTGTGAGTTATGAATCTCATGTTGTGATTGTGGAAATGTGAACTAACCATACTTCTCATGAAGATCAGATAATGCATGAGGCCATCTTCCTCCAATCCTGCATTTGTTTGATTAGATGATTTCATTGTGATTCTGAGACTTGCAAGTGTTATATGGCTTACCAATTCTTGGCGTACCAGATGTATGATGATCTGGCTATAAGTGGCCCTGGAAACTTTCTCAATGGGTGAAAGTATAGGTTGTAAATTGCAAAATATGTAGGGTATGCTAGAAGCTAAAGGCGAAGTTGTTAGCATTGAATTTACAGAGGATATATCTGGGATTCTTACGACTACCAAAACAAATCCAATCCAAAGATAGATAGTTGGCAAACCGAGTCGCTCGAGCAATTCAACTGCAAACATCTTGAAATGTTTAGCACGATTTACCGCAAGTTTGAATTGGGTGTCTGCTCATGGATGATGTGGTAAAGGTTAAACGATTCAATTTAGTGATCTGGATATGTTCGTTAACGGCCTCCGAAAAGAAATACGATACATATTATTGGACGATGAAATTATGGGGCTGATCACGAACCACATCCGGGTGCCGACACATTCCGCCAGAACTTCGGTATGTGTGACCGCAAACCGCGAAAGGCGGCATAGCCCAGATCTTTCTTCTTCTATGGCTTGAGCTTGCTTTGAAATCCAGATGTATACACTTGTAGCCAATGTGCAATTGACTTGACTGACAATTCTTTTTGTTGTACGATTTTCCATCTTCTGAACTTGACAAAAGAGTCTGTTCAAAATGATACACTTTGCAGATCTGGGGGCAATATCATTGGCAAATTCCAATACTGTGATTGCGGGTTGCATTGTCTTCGCATTGTATTACCTATTCCAATTCCTCAATTCAAAGAAATTGAATTTCGATGCTCCAGTTATAGGCGATGCGAGTGATCTTCGCTCTGCTCTGATCAACGGGTACAACCAGGTATGAACTGTTCGTGAAAATTAGCGAAGACAGAAAATTACTGACGTAAATAGTGCCCAAACACGCCATTTTTACTGCCAACAGCGGCTCATCCTACAATCATCTTACCCATCAAGTACATTGATGAGATCAAATCTTTACCCCCAGACAAGATCTCATTTCTCGAAGAATTCAGAGATAGATACTTTGGGCATTATACGGCGTTTGCAAACAATACCGAAGGAGATGCAGTCACAACAAGTGTCAAGGTTGACCTCACACAGAGCATCGCGCGTGCATTGGAGAACATGCAAGCTGAGACAGAGCTCGCTTTTGCAACTGAATTGCCGAAGCCCAAGGACTGGATGTCAGTGACATTATATCCCATCATATTAAGAATGGTGGCAAAGGTCAGTGGACGAGTGATGGTAGGCGAGCCGTTATGCAGGAATGAAAAATGGATTCAAATATCGACTACATATACTCGTGACACCTTCTTGGGGGGTCGAGCGGTCTGGGCACGACACCCACTTTTTAGACCAATATATGCTCTTTATTCGCCAGAATTAAAGAAAGTTCGCCAACACTATACCGATGCGGCAGAATTCCTGCGGCCAATCTTCAATCAAAGATTCAAGGAGATGGAGCGGGATGATTTTGAGAAACCACAAGATATGATTCAATGGATGATCGATAACTCGGGAAACAATGCTAAAGATGCGACTTTCCAAGGTCGATGCCAACTCGTGAGTTGATCGTTACAAAACTTTGAAAATGACGTACTGACCGCACTCCAGTTGATATGTGGGTATTCTCTACAACTCTCCCGCAATTTATGATGCAAGACTCACCATTTTGGAACAGCATTTGCAGCCTTGCATACTACGTCTGGACTGGTGAGTAAATACTTTCGCAAATCTAGACGGCTGACATGAGTCTGAACTAAACTCTCGAACAGTTAGGTAATGCGATTCTTGACCTTGCAGCACGACCAAAATACATTGAAGCTCTCCGCGAAGAGATAGCCGCTAATCTTCCCGAAAATACTCAAATCACCAAACAAATACTCACCAAACTGCGAAAAATGGATTCGTTCTTGAAGGAAAGTCAGAGAATGAACCCATTGAATCTAGGTATGAAGCTCAATCTCAATTTTCTCTCAGATGAATCACTAAAACTTTAAATGGTAGTCACCATGAACAGAAAGATGATGGACACAGTACAGCTATCAGATGGTACAATCTTACCAAAAGGATCTTTCGTTGGTATGGCAGCCGGCTCCATCGGTTTTGATCCCAGAATCTTCGAAAATCCCGACGAATTCGACGGTTTTCGATTCGAGAAGCTCAGACAGCAACAAGGCGCGGAAAACAAATTCCAACTAGTGACCACAGGAAAGGATAGTCTGGCTTTTGGACACGGAACTCACAGTTGTCCAGGCCGCTTTTTTGCCAGCAATGAGATTAAGACGATGCTGATCGAACTTCTGCGGAATTATGATTTTCAGCTACTCCCTGGAACTGAAAGGCCAAAGAATTTAAAGAGTGATATGAGTCTCGTTGTAGACCCAACGGCACAGATTCAAATTAAAGAGCGTTGTAGATAGTATTCTGAGTAGTCTAATAGAACAACTGTGATTGAATTTAATTGGTTCCGTGAATTTTATAATGAAGCGAAAATCAATTGAAGTCTTGCTTTAATATGTTTGGACGAAAAGTACTAGCTCACGGAACAGTAAAGGGCAGTTTGACGTGGTTGGAGTGGAAATCTTGTGGTCAAGTCTGAAATAGCTCTGGCATTCTCCCGCGAAATCGAGTAGGATCTATTCCTTTCGAGGTGTATCGGCATCTTTAGGTTTCAAAAATCAAACGGGAAAATATCAACACGAGATCCCTGAATGGCACGCGCAGCTCTGGGCTAGAAAACTTTCCAATGGTAGACTCTATGAAAAATTGAGCCTAACTTCAAAACATTTCAATTACCAACAACATCAAACACTAATTTGCTCCCAGATACTTTTCCTTTCCTCAAGAGATCTATTGAACCCGCAATTCCACCCAAGCCCCCCGATTTTAGCATCGTAGGATGGGCCTTCAACCTTCCCTTCTCGATCAACTTTTCAGCAATTTTTACAAATTTTTCCGCCAGCTTCCTATCTTCAGGTTTTGCATCTCGAGCAAATTCTCCACTGAGTTCAATAGGTAAACCAAATATTGTTAGCGCGTAGCAAAAAAATGGTTTGACATCCGCACGTGACCGTTGTACCCTTGCATTGAATGGATCTAACGATACGTACTTTCCACCAGTAGCACCTATCGCCTCGTAGCAAAGACGCATTGAAGATGCCGTGGTAATACAATCAAGTGCGTATTCCAATCTATTATGGGTATACTGTTTAATCATAGCCCCGCATCCCTGCGAATGATAATCAAAGCATTTCGATGCTCCTCTCGATTGTACAAGTCCGAAATTATGAGGCGAACATACAGCAATCGGTTCATACCCAGACAGTTGTAATAATTGAATAGCCAAAGTCCCGGTGGAAGTTGACGCCCCGTAGACAAGTACCGGAATGCGCGGTGTTTCGTTATCGTTATCTGTGAGCGCGTCTCCACCACTCCACCCTCGGGGTCCGACGCGAGTTTTCTGAGGCGCTGCACTGCCTGTCCCATCTGTATTTGGCCAATTCAATGCCAAACACTCGTTTCCGTATAATGCCAAACCAGTTGTGACTATTCCCACACCGTAGCTTGCTGCATGTTGAAAATCCATGTTTTCGGGGATTTTGACTAGCAGGTCTCCGTCTGTAACGACGTACTCCGCAAATGCGCCTCCGTGAATGCTCGTGACGCCTAGTACTCGATCTCCAGCAACTAGATCCGAGTTCATGGAATCGTCGATAGCTTCCAGAACACCAGCCATGTCGTATCCGCTGATAGCTCCAGGTTTGGCCGAGAAATCAACCATTTTCCAGTCACTATGATTGAGAGCTACAGCATGTACCTTCACCAAGACTTTTCTCGATCCTGGCTCTACTGATGGCTTGGGTACGTTCTCAGTCAGCTGGAGCGTTCCAGGTCCGGTTTGAATTACTGCTTGCATGACTGAGATTGTAAAACGAGTACACTTAAAATTCTCTCTGTAGTAAACAAATCAAAAAAGTCTCAATGTTGTCGATATACATCGATTCTCTCAGTGAAAGAGATGAAATGGTGCAGCAGCTGCTTTTGAATTTGCTTGAGCTGTAAGTCGGTAGTGATTTCATGGGAGCCGCAGTGACCTACTCGGATCCCGTGAGTGGAGTAGTCAAGTCAGAACACATGACAATGTACCCCCGAACCCACGTGTTATGCATTGTAAAGCTTCATCAATGAAGCATATCATATCAACTACTGATACACCACATTTTCAAGATATTACATCTTTCATCTGGAATCGTTCCAACTGCAATCGTATCAACTACATCCACTACAACCGTTTCCATTTACCAATACCCAGACTGCCCTTTTTCCCCTTCAGAGTTGTGTTTAATCGTTGCATCATGGTCGTCCCAAACGAACCTATAGCCGTCATAGGCACAGGCTGTCGTTTCCCAGGTGGCGCCTCTTCACCCTCTAAACTATGGAACCTTCTCCATCATCCATACGATTTGACTCAAAAGGTTCTATCCTCACGATTCAACATCAAGGCCTTCTATCATCCCAATGGTGAACACCATGGAACCACCAACGCCACCAAATCATATTTTCTTAATGAAGACCCAACGACATTTGATGCTCCGTTTTTTAATATCAATCCAAGAGAAGCAGAAGCCCTTGATCCACAACAACGACTACTTTTGGAGACCGTCTATGAGGCTCTAGAAGCTGCAGGATTGTCGATCGAAGAAATGCAAGGCACTTCTACTGCAGTATACGTAGGACTCATGTGCGCCGACTATTTTGATGTTCTAATGCGAGACATTGAAGATATTCCGCAATATTTAGCAACAGGAACAGCACGCAGTATCATGTCGAACAGGATTTCTTATTTCTTCGATTGGAAAGGACCCTCGATGACAATTGACACTGCATGCTCATCAAGTTTGGTTGCCGTTCATAATGCCATTTCGACACTTAGAAGTGGACAAAGTCGAACTGCTATAGCCGCTGGTGCAAACTTAATCTTTGGTCCAGAAATGTATATTGGAGAGTCAAATCTCCATATGCTTTCGCCGACGGGGAGATCTCAGATGTGGGACTCAAGAGCTGATGGATATGCACGTGGTGAGGGGACCGCGGCAATTGTTTTGAAGACTTTGAAGAATGCTTTGGAAGATGGAGATGACATTGAATATATAATTCGCGAGGTACATAATTTTGTTTCCGTTTTTAATGTCTCGATGGCTAATTCGTTATGACTAGACTGGTGTAAATTCGGATGGTAAGTCGAAAGGTATCACCATGCC